AGAAGTTAGTTCCACTCTAGTGTTCATCACAATCACTTACCACATTTGTTCCAGACAACACCCAGATGAACTTATCTGTGTCACCATGTGAGCCCTATAGACTGTATGTCCAAAGAAATTCTCAGTTGGATGCATTACTAATACTAAAGAAATTTAATTGGTCATTTAATGGAATTTAAAGAGGAAAGGCCTAGAATTCTTACCTAAATTAAATTCAGAGTAGCCAAAACTGTGAGGAGGAGAATGAACTCATTCAGAATGCTGCAGCTATAATTTTAACTAGAATAAATGTGCTGAACTTAATTTATAAATCTGCCATCAGCTGCCATTAGTTTTTTGTTTTGTTTTTCTTAATCAGCCCTTAAAAATTTCAATGTTGCTGAAGGTACTATTTAAATAGATCTTGGTTATTTTTAAGCAGATCTTATTAAAACAGAAAACTACCTTTATGTATAAAATGTGGTACATAAATAAAAATAATCTGTATTTTGTTTGTCTGTTGTGGGAGTTTTTTGATCAGCCTAACCATTTAGGGAACAGACAACTGAGTTTGCTTTCAGGTAGAAGCAAATTTGGCATGAAAAGCCCTTTGATACCAATGTTGATAAGATCAGAATGTGTTTTTACACGCACTGAAGACTTTATTAGGAACACTATACTAATACTGGGTATTTGCACTCAAAACAGGCTCAATTCTTCATGGCATGGATTCCCCAAGATGTTGGAAACATTTCTTTGAGATTCTGGTCCATGTTGAAATGATTTCATCATGCAATTCCTGCAGCTTTTTCAGGTGCACTTTCATGCTGCAAATCTTCCGTTCTACCACATCCCAAAGCTGTTCTATTGGATTCAGATCTGGTGACTGGGAAGGAACATTGCAATAATTGTCATGTTCATGAAACCAGTTTGAGAAGACTTTTGCTTTGTGACATGGTGCATTATCATGCTGGAAGTAGCCATTAGAAGATGCGTAAATTGTGGCCATGAAGGGATGCACCTGGTCCACAACAATACTCAAATAGGATGTGGCATTCATGCAATGATTGATTGGATTAATGGGCCCAAAATGTGCCAAAAAAAACCATTCTCCACACCAGGTTAGGTCCATGGATTCATGCTGTTGGTGACAAATTCTGACCCTACCATCTGTGTGCCTCATCAGAAATTGAAATTCATCAGAGCGGGCTATGTTTTTCCAGTCTTCATTTGTCCTGTTTGAGTGAGCCTGTGCTCACTGTATCCTCAGCTTTATGTTCTCAGCTGACAGAATTGGAACCCAATGTGGTCTTCTGCTGTTGTAGCCCATCCACCTCAAAGTACGAAGTGCTGTGAAAAAGAGAAAATATTAAAGTAATAATTGCTAAGCCCATTTTTTGTATGTTGCATTGCAATAAAACAAAACATTAATATTGTTTTTATCAACAATAACAGAACCAGAACCATACATGCATTAGAGCAAAACACCAGTAATACAATACTATTACTGGTGTCTTGCACTAATGCATGTATGGTTCTGGTTGTGTTAGGTAGACACGTTTGTGTGTGGTCCCATATGGAAAAACCAGAATATCAAAGCACAGAATACAAGGCTTGGAAAGACAGGTAAAGGTACAGTGAGTGTTACTTCATGATGAGTCTCCATATTTAAAGGACGTGTGTGTAATTGGTATCAGGTGTGCATGATTAGAACTCGGGTGACTGTAAACATGATGTAGAAAGAAGGGCCATGTAGTCCATGGTGGCCATGTTTCTAGGCCACAGTGTGTTCTGGGGAGTGGAGTTTCTTGCTGATTCTGGCACTAAAATGACAGAACCCCCCCAGGGCTGTCTAGGGGTGAAGATCAGATGCTAATGGTCTCCCCATAAAGCTGCCCCAGACCCTGAATTTGAACTGAGTATCTCGATCATTTACAATGCCTTCATGGACTCCATAGTAGCGGAACATGTTTGTGAAGAATAACTGTTTTCGAAGGAGGTGGGAAAACCAGCCAGTGGGAGAAGATGCAGGGATTTTGAGAATTGATCTACAATGACCATAATGAGTGTATTTCCTTGTGACTCTGGGAGGACTGTGATGAAGTCAATGGTAAGGTGAGACCAGGGTCGTTGGGGTGTGGGTAAGGGCATGAGCATATCAGCTGATAGTGTGCATGGTACTTTGGCTTGGGGTTATGCGGTGCATGAAGAGATGAATCGATGGATGTCAGTTACCATGTTAGGCCGTCATTTTCTCACTTTTAACAGGTGGTAAGTTCTGTGTGTGCCTGGATGTCCTGTGGAGGGGGGGTCATGTGTGTCTATGTGATCAGTTTGCCCCTTAGGTTTGGCAGAACATATGTTTTATCTGGAGGACAGGTGGGGGGAATTTGTTGAGCTGGTGTGTGGGTTATTTCCTTGTTGATGTCCCAAGATATAGCTCCCATGAAGCAGGAGGGAGGTAATATATGCTCTTCTCTTTGTTCTTTGGGTTCTATTGGATGCAGGCATGACAGGGAATCGAATCTTCTTTATTGTTCTTGGAGCCTGGCCTATATGAGAGC